TAGGGTGACAAACGAGCAGCGAGCACACAGTCCACCTAATGCTAAGTGGTTGCTGTGGCCCATAAACATCTACATCTATCCTCGCTTATGAATCAAAATGCAGATGCGTTGTCTCCCGTGAGGACTAAGATGGAATGCCTCGTTTCCAGTAAAAAGGGTCTCCGGTTCTCTACACTCACCATACAAAACACAGCAGTATTAAGCTACTATTTTACGCTGGTATTCTGTGAGAGCGTGGTCCTTCCCTGGTCGAGCCGACCCATTCGTGCTACAACTATACTACTAATAATCGCAGAATGGCTCTATCACGTATAAAATATATTAGTATAACATAATAATAAACAATGATAATGAGATTATTCTGCCAGTTTAATTAAATTATGTTTGCGAACCTTCTTTTTGAATGCATAACGATTGCTAGCCGTTCTAATTTCAAGAGGGAGTGCGTTCAAGAGGAGAACAGGCTGTTCAGTGAAGGAAGAATACAGGAAACCAGATTTATGTCACACCAGCTTGATGCAGACTCATCAATGAGGACCGACTTCTGACATCCGCAAAGATAACTGGAGAACCAGTGCTTCGGGAGAAATCATAGAATGGGAAAGTATAGATAGTAGGATGTCATGATTGATGGTATTGAAGGCATTAAAAATCAATCAAAGCCAGTGCAGTGACTTTGGTGTCCATGCTCGCCCTAACCAGTGAGCGGAAGAGTGGAAACAGTGTTGAGGCCGGGTCTGAATCCAGACTGAAAAGGGCTTAAAAACAAAAATTAAAAATTAAATTGTTCTTATAAACAAACAGGGAAAGAGTCCTATGTACACGGGCTTCAAGTAGATACTTTTGATAGGAAAGGTAGAATGAATATAGGTCGGAATTTAGGTAAAAGTTTATGATACGGGAAATAACTGGAAGAATATGGTCAAGGATATAAATGGTCATTCGGCGACTGATATTATCGCAACGCACAGCGTTTGAGTTAATGTAAATGATTATCTTTTTAATTTTATCCGAAGTGATTGGAAAAAAATAGAAGGGATCGATAATTAAACAAAGAATGCCATTGTAATAATCAAAAGTGTGACACTTGGCTTGATAATCCAGGGGAGTATGAGAAACAAAATGACTGTTAATATCAACCAAACCAAGTGTCCTCTGAAACTCAAAACGAGGCTGTTTACCAATTCCGAGAGTCCCATGAAACTTCCAAAATATCGGCAGAGAAAGAAGAAATTATATTATCAAAAATATATCGGCGTTTAGTTATCATCTGATTATATCGATTCCTAGCAACTTTATATGAGTTCCATTTCTCATCACTCCGTTTTAAAGCATTGAAAAGCCCCTCATGGCTATACGAATACATATCATCATCCATGGTGGTTGCTTTACAATAACCCTCGTGACTGGAACATGTACATCAAAAAGCTTGAGAACAGTGCCATTAACTGCAGTGACTTTCCATCCGTGTGCGTGTCGGTGGCAGGCCACCCCTTCGTCCAATTTTAAATTTAGATGCATTTAAATACACCTTAACTAAATATTTACGACGAAAACATCGCATGTGCAGGATTTTAGGCAGAAATTTAGTAGGTTTTAGAATGTAAGAAAGGAAAATAAGGTCATGATAAGTAAGGTGTTGACCACGGAAGGACACGAGGGTAGGAGAAGGCCAAGCGTCATGTTTAGATGAGTGGCTTGTAACGAAAATATGTGGAGACCAACTAACTCTACAATATGAAGGAGTTTAGAAGAACGGGGTGTGGTGGGAAGAGTTTTCTTGTTGTTTCTTGTGAAATATACACTGCCCAAATTGTACCGTGGGTGTCATAAGAGGAGACAGAGGAAAAACCAGGAGCTGTCAGCGGCAGCATCTTCCTAATAACAACTTGAAAATAAAAACTATGGTTGATAACACGTTTGACAACACCATGGAAAAATGGCAATTACGGAAAATATTTCGCTTATTAGCATTCTATAGGCCTAGGATCAGCCGACTTTGATAGGCTGTAATGAATGAATGAATAAGTAGTGTTTTTTTATTATTACAAAAACAAATCGTCAAAGCGTTGTAAATTTTTCAAAAGCATTTAGTTATATTTATAACTAAATTTGTATAAATTTCCGCCAAAACTATGTACATTTAGTTATAAATATAGCGCGAAAAGCTGGAGTCGTCAACAGATACGATAACATACGGGTAACTGAACAGACAGATCTCCAAATGAAATTGGTAGGATTTACGTATTACAGTTCATATTGAAGAAGCAATCGAGCAGAACCAGGGCTACAAAGTCTTTGTCAAAGATCTCAATCAATCAAAGCCAGAAAGAGCACCAACGGTAAGACCCCAGACGAGGATGGAATTACAGCGGAGCTTCTGAAAGCGGGTGGAACACTGGTACTTAAAGTCCTTCAGAAGCTCTTCAACTCCGTCCTCCATAGTGGCACTATTCCGGGGACGTGGAGAAGAAGTGCGGTGATCTTGTTCTTCAAGAAAGGTGACAACGCTCTCTTGAAGAACTACATACTGATTTCACATCTGAGCCACTTCTAGGTGCTGTTTTCGAGATTCATTACGAATCGTCTCTCACGCAGACTCGACGACTTCCAGCCTCCCGAACAAGCCGGTTTCGGAAAAGTCTTTAGTACCATAGACCACATATATACCCAGCGGCATATTTTACAAAAGACCGAAGAGTACAATCTGCCACTTTTCCTAGCGTGTGTGGACTATGAAAAAGCCTATGATACCGTTGAAATTTGGGCGGTGCTACAGTTCAGCGATGCCAAGTTGACTTTTGGTATATCGAAGTGCTGAAATGTTTGTACAGTAGGGCTACATGACTATCCGAGTACAGAATCAGAGTTCGAAACCTATCCAACTGCGTTATATATCCCCCAAACTCTTCACCGCTGCATTGGAAGACGTCTTCAAACTACTGGACTGGAAATGATACGGTATTAACATGAATGGCAAGTACATCACTCACCTTCGATTTGACAATGATTTAGTCCTTATGGCAGAATCGCTGGAGGATCTAAGCGCTATGCTCAATGACCTCAATAGTGCCTCCCAACGGATAGGTCTTAAGATGAACATGGACAAAACAAAGATCAGAGAAAGATGAAGAAGATATAATGTCCATGTCACACCTATGCCGGTAGTTGTTGGGAGCACTAAGCTTGAAATTGTTGACGAGTACGTATACCTGGGATAAATTGTCCGACTAGGTAAGTCCAACTTCGACCGAGATATTAATCGACGGATTAAACTCGGCTGGATTGCATTCGGGAAATTATGACACATCTTCTCGTCAGGTATACCGCAAAACCTGAAAACTAGATTGTACAACCAGTGAGTGTTGCCAGTGACGACTTACGGATCTGAGACGTGGTCCTTCACTACTGGCCATATGAGGACGATCAAGGTCACTCAGCGAGCTATGGAGAGGGCTATACTCGGGGTTTCTCTGCATGATAAACTTAGAAATGAGGATATCCGCAATAGAACGAGAGCGACCGATATAGCCCAATGGATTAATAAGATGAAGTGGCAATGGGCCGGCCATATAGCTCGAAGAACCGACAGCCGATGGTGAAAAAAGGTTCTTGAGTGGCATTCTCGTACCGGTAGGCATAGTGTATAGCGAGCCCCCGCTAGATGGAGTGACGACTAGGTAAGACACGCAGGAATTCGATAGATGCAGGTGGCTCAGGAACGTGCTGTGTAGCATTCCTTGGGGGAGGCCTATGTTCAGCAGTAGACTTTTGAAGGGTTATAATGATGATGATGATGATGATGATAGCGCGATACAACGTTACAGTTCTTTTATATAAATAAACTTGTATCATTTTAATAACGAAACTTATTTTCGTAAAATGAATGAAAGAAAAATGCCCATTTTTTCACCTGACGATGTATATAAATGAAATAAATCTTAAAATTCAGCTAATTGGATTGTAAGTTAATTACGCTTATCAAAATTTTAAAAGAAACGCAGGAAAAAAATATTTTTTTAATATTTCTTTAAGCTTATTCTACGTCAAGCGTAAAGGTATTAGCTTATTTTGAACGCATCTCAACTACCCTTTTTAGGACGTTCCATTTTACACTTGTTACTTTACTTTACTCAACTTTGTTTCTGAGTTTTATACATTATTTTAGCTTTCATTTAATTAGTAAGCATTTTTATTAGTTTTTGTGTAGTACAGATTATTTAAAAATAATAAAATAATTTCTTGAGTACCTATTTGGTAACGCCATACCTAACCTAAAAAGTGACTTTAATATTTTTTGGGCTTCGTAGCGTTTAAATCGTAAAAAAAGGCTATATGACATTATTTTCTAAACTTACATGTAGTTTTCCTACTATACCTTACAACTATACATAAACTTTCATTATCAGGTTTTTATAGACTGTATGGAAAGTGGGCATGATTCTTTCAGTTGCACAACATAAACGAAACAAAGGAATACTTTGACATAAGTATGACAATAACATGATATTAATAAGGCTGCCTGTCACTATCGCCATTAAGAATGTAAAAGTATGTAACAAATTTGAAAGCGTATTTAGTCAAATTTCGGGAACGTCGAAAGGAGTTTTTAAAAACTAAACTACAACTAAATTAATACGTCTCACCGATTTGGAGGTGGCTTTAATAATGAATGATTTTTAAAGAGCCTCTTCGTACGCAGACGTTCCACTCATCAACTAAGTACTAGGAATCTTATATAAAATGCTGATGTGTTAGTTTTATTGCTTAGCTTAAACAATACAATATAATATATTTTAATATACTAGATTAAAACAGAGGGACGGGGTGTATCCATAACTCCTCCCTCCCTAAGAGCAAAATTATCGGTAATATCATTTTTAGTGTTTTTACGATAATTTTGAAAGTGAGGCATACATTTTTTTCTTAACAAATATATTAAAAACAATAAGAAACTGAAGGCTAGAAAATTTAAAATTACATATGTTAGAACACTGAAGTTAGTCTTTTTCTCTTTTGAAGGCACTTGAGTCTGTGTAATAGATTTCACTGTGTTTTAAAGCATTTGACATATACTTCACTTCGTCCAAGTTGACATCATTCATGTTAATGACGCGTGTACTTGTTACATTGGAAGTTGAACGTAATTGAGGTAAGTTGATGACTGGAACAGGTAGCGCTGCTTCGTATTCTGTGTAAACACGGTGGTGATGAATGTAAGTACCATGTATCTCCAGGTCACAGGACTCATCACTGGTTAGTATATAGGTTCCAAAAATGGGTTGCTTGCTGATCTCGTTATCGCAGTGTTTGGTCAGTGTCGTTTTTAGCTTTGTAAAAACAATCCAATTTTCTGCTTTAATTTGCTGTACCTTAACGTCTTCAATTATAACGGCGTGTTGCGTGCAACAGGTAAGGGTATTCCCAAATTTCATCAACTATTCTATGCAGGTAAGTCAAGGGTAGAGGGCTCTATTTTCTTCGGTACACATGAAATCATTACCAGCAAGGGGGCGACAGGGTTTCGTAACTGGTAAGTATTTTGTCCCTTTCACCAGGAGGTAAGGATATTTTGGGAATATGGTAATTGTTTCGTTTACAGATTCGCGGAAAATAGGTACGGAATAAACCTTAAAATAATTGTAGGTATTATTATCAGTTAACGGAATCTCCATTATAAATGCTGTCTGGTTTTTCCTAAGGTAAGATTTTACTCTTATGGTTTGTTCTAATTTTACCAATTTAGTTTCGGTTCGTGGGTACACTAAATTTTCAGTATTGGATATTAGTTTTAAATGATCTAAGAGTTCTGTAGAATTTACAATAGATTGATGGAGTATAGATACTCTACTAAAAGCTAGGGCAGTCTCTATTTCATTTAATTTATCAAATATGGTTCGAAAATTGCTTATAAATAAATTAAATAATCCAAAAATATATGTAGAGAAAACCCAGTTATTTTCTCTAGTTGTTAGATGATTTAGCATTGTCTCTACACTTTTTAAGCGTGCATCTAGCATAACAGAATTATTATTTAAGGTTTCAGTGGCATTAATAAAACTGTCCAACATTTTAGAGACTAAGGTGAGTTTCCTAGACACGATAATTTGGTTGCGACTTAACTCCGAGATAAGTTTATCACACTTTAGAGCATCTTTATGATCGAGGTTTCCCGTAATAAATTTTAGAACTGAACCTAATGGATTTAGGATCCCTCTCTTAAAACGTTGCGGCATAAGTTGTTGAAATTTTTGAACGGTTAAATCGCGTATGTGATCTGCATGGGTTTTAACACTTATAAATTCGCGAGGGTATGGTTCTTTTACTTCAATTAGTTTACTGAGTTTATGATATTGAACAATAATTAGTATTAGGTCGTCATAAATATTTTCTAAATTTAAAATCTTTATTATAGTCCAGTGATCTGTTTGGGCACATGCTTGTCCTTGTTTTACCGGAAGTATCCCTGGGTTTTCCTTAAGTGACTGCAGATGATGGGCCAGGATCGGCATCGCAATCATCAGTATGCACCACCTGTGGAGGGAGTTTGATATTTTTAATCGGGGCTTTAGTCTTTCTTTCACCTACTTTTATTGGCACTATATTTCTTTCGGCTTTGCCTACTACTTTAGCCTTAACGTATTGCGGTCTGTCCTTGCTTTTTCTTTTGTTGGTATCCTTAGCAAATACGGTCTTACCACACGGAAATGCTATATCATCTTCATCGCCTCGCTTTTCCCTAATTTTTTCTTTAATCGCTACTATATTTTCTGCTAAATGTTTGTATAAGAATTTTGTTCGCTTTGCATGGTCTCTCACTAAGTGTTGTAAATACTGCTTATTAATTTCTGTATTAAATGGGCTACCCGTGTCGGTGTGTCCGAAAACTACCTCGAAAGGTGTAAGCTCTGTTACCGAATGAATGGTATTATTATATGCTAGTATGGAATACGTCATAACTGATGCCGCATCAGTAGGTATTCTTTCGTATTTTGCCAATCTATAAATTTCTATAATCGTCGAGTGAAACCGTTCTATAAGCCCCATCGAGTTTGGGCTATTTGGGGTTCCGATGTGTTGTTCAATTTTATATAAGCTTAAGAATTCCTTAATTAATTCATTGTTAAATTCAGAGCCTGGGTTTGAACTTATTTTTTTCTGGTATTCCGTAAAAAGAAAAGTACTTCATCAAAGCTCGGACTACTTCGGGGGGTAGACCTATTTGAAATTTCTATCGCTTGGCCTAATTTGCTGAACGCTATAAGGGTGAGATAATGCTTTCCTTCGATGTTAAATAGGTCTATAAATATTTCTTGAAACGGAGCATCTTGTGTTTGGGTTAATTGAAGTATAGGTTTGATTGGCTTCCTGTCGTATTTTATTTTTTTACACGCAGTACAACTATTTATTATTGCCGAAACAGTTTCTTGTAAATTATCCCAGTAGTAATTTCTGCGGATTCTGACTAGCGTCTCTTTAATGCCCCGGTGACATGTCTTTCCTTCGTGATATTTAACTACAATCGCTCTTTGTTCTTTTTCATCTTCAACAAAAACTACTCTTTCCGTACATTCAAAAAATTTTACCATATCCTTTTTGAACAGGTGTATAATGATATTACTAAATTGTTTTCGATGTTCTTCCCGTTCAAAATATATAAAATATTTAATTTTAGGCCTAATATATTTCTTTAAAAATTCTTTTATTAACTCGGAATTATCTAATGGTAAAAATACTTCTAGTACCTTTTGTTTCTTTCTAGAAATATCTTTAACCTGACATTGATTTTTGAACCACGAAAATACCAATATTTGAATTGGCTTCGCATCGATAGCCTCATGTAATATTGGAATACCGTTCGACTCTAATTCTACGGCTGAGTGTACAGTTTGGGATTTACTAGATTCTGTAGGCGATCGGATTGGGTATTCGGAAACCTTTTCTGAACTACTAATCGATATTATGTCGGAAAGAGACATAGGGCTCGCGGAAACAGTACTTGAGTCTGATATTATCACAGTGGACGTCGTGTCATTATGTCTTTTATTTTTAGCGTTTAGTTTTTCAATTTCCTTAACAACGTCTTTTAAATGGTCCCTAAGCTTACACTCTTTGCTGTCTAAGTTAACGTCCATAGAATGACCTTCGTCGTCTGAATTTAGTGCATTAATTTTAATTCTGGATAGGGCGTCGGCATTTGTATTTTGTTTACCATTTTTAGAAATAATCTGAAAGTCGTAATCCTGTAATCGTAGTCGCTATCTGGTGAGTTTGCTGTTTGGTTCCTTTAATGAATAAAGCCAAACTAAGGGTCGACCTTCGGTCAGTGTAAATTACAAATTTCCGTCCGTAATGGTATGGCCGGAAATGTTTTACAGCCCAAATAATAGCTATAAGTTCGCGTTCGATGGTGCTGTATCTACTTTCAGTGTCACTATGCGTCCTACTAGCGTATGCAACAGGTCTATCACTACCAATAGGGACCTGTGATAGAACTGCTCCTAAAGCTATATTTGAGGTGTCAGTTGCGAGGATGAACGTCTTTTCGAAATCCGGGTACTGTAGTAATGGTTCACTTGTAAGTATTTCCTTACATTTTCAAACGCACTTATATATTTTTCATCGATGATTATTTTATTTCGCTTTTTTGAGACATGCAGTTAGGGGTTGTGTGATCTCAGCAAAGTCCTTTATGAAGCGTCGATAATACCCTACCAGCCCTAAGAAACTTTTAATTTCAGTTGTTGTCAGTGTTCGGTCGTAGCCCTTCTTTCGTAATGGTATGTCCTAAATATAAAACCTCCTTCCTTAAAAATTCAGACTTGTCTAATTGAATCTTTAGATTAGTCGTCCTAAGTCTGTCGAATATTGTCCGTAACTTTTGTATATGTTCTTCCAGACTGGTCGAAAATACAATTATATCGTCCAAATATACCATGCAGTGTATCCCCTGTAATCCCCTTAGCACGCTGTCCATGGTCCGCTGGAAAGTTGCAGGAGCTGTCTTCAATCCATATGACATCCTGTGGAATTCATAATGGCCGTTTTGAGTGCTAAAGGCTGTACCAAACTCGGTCTGCCAAGTTTTGCTCGGTGACGGTTACAGAAGGCTCCAGCTCAGCAAAAAGTCGATGCATCCTTGCCCGATTAAGCATTATTATTATTGTGAGGTATCTATATAGTTTTCTCATCTGGTTGGGTTCTATAAATATATAATTATAAATGAGAATGAAAAGATAAATATACATAAATATCAATAACATAAAATAAATATAAAAATACTTAAATAAATAAAAGCCCAACCAGATGGAGGCCCTTGGCAGGGGAGACCAAACGGCCGAGGGTTAGGGGGAAAGAGAAAGAAACCGGCGGACGATGCGGGCGGTATCGAGGAGCACCGCCTTCTGCATTTGAGCCCGGAGCGGTCCGCCACGTAGTCCCAGTCGCCTCAGATGACCCGAGAGGCTGACTGGGATTAGCCCGTTTGCAGAGACGACTACAGGAATAATTTCGGTCGGCAGACCACCCCACATGTCGGTCACCTCGTGAGCCAGGTCCAGATATTTTGTTTGCTTGTCTGTTTCGGCTTTCACGAGGTTCTCGTCATACGGAATGGTAATGTCGACCAAAAATATCCTTGACTGTGCCCGGTCCATCAGCACAATATCAGGCTTATTCGCAAGAATAGTCCTGTCTGTGATGATGGCCCGGTCCCAATAGAGCCTGGCGCGATCATTTTCGAGCACGGCTTCCGGCAAGTACTTGTAGTACGGCAATTTCCGGTCCACGAGACCGTATTTCAGAGCGAGCTCCTGGTGTAGAATTCTGGCTACTAGGTTGTGCCTGTGCAAGTACTCAGAGTTAGAAAGCGCCGAACAACCGGAGATAACATGCCTAAGTGACTCACCGGGATGGCGACAAGCTCGACAGATATCGACGGTGCCATCCTTTAGGATGTATCTCCGATAGTTGTTGGTCTTAATAACCTGATCCTGTATTACACAGACAAAACCCCCGGTTTCCCCGAAGAGATCACCAAAGCGTAGCCAGTGGAGGGAGGCTACTGTGTCTACGAAAGGCTCATGTAGAGCCTTGTAGAACCTCCCGTGGAGCTCCTTCTCCTTCCATACGGTCTCTCGGTCGGAAATGCTCTGCACTGCCGGGTCTTGCCATTGCTCGTTGGCTAAGGATAGAGGGGTAAGTCCTTTATCACAAGAAATGACGTCCATATAGAATGGATCATCCGATCTCGCCAGGAAGTAATCACGGAGGCTGCACACTTCGCGATTATGCATGGTGAGCGCGCTCAAGAAGCCACGACCACCATGCTTCCGCGACAAGTACAACCTCATTACCGACGATCTCGGATGATGCATCCTATGGGACGTCATGGTAGTGCGGACTTTTCTATCCAGGGCGTTAAGTTCAGTCTGAGTCCACCTGAGTATGCCAAAGGTATACATGAGGACAGGCATGACCCAGCCGTTATATGCGTGTGCCTTATTCACACCGGACAAAAGGCTGTTAAGCACTTTAGTCAAGCGTGCATAAAACACGTCGCAAACTGACTGTTTCATACCAGTCTCATCGATACCGATGTTTTGTGACATACCCAGGTATCGGTATGTTTCAGCCTCGGAAAGGGTCCTTAAGTTGACGGGCATAGATAAGTCTACGCCCTCAGAGTTAGCAACCCTTCCCCTTTCAACATGGAGGACCGCACACTTATCCGTCCCAAGCTCCATACCAATGGAATTGCTAAATTCACAAGTGATGTTTAGCAATTCCATAAGATGGGAGCGACTGGAGGCGAATAACTTGAGGTCATCCATATAGAAAAGGTGGGTCACTTTTGTCCCTCCTCTCCGTAGCTGAAATCCCCTCCCGGAGCCCTCCAGTAAGGTACTGAGAGGGTTCAGAGAGAGGCAGAACCAGATTGGACTCAGACAATCGCCCTGGAAGATACCCCTTCTTATCCTTATGTGGTTCTCCGCAGCCATCATCCGCTCGCCCAGATGACAAAGGATCGTACTCCACTGCCCCATACACTGCTCAAGGAAGTCTCTAACTGTACAGTCTATCTTGTACAGCTCGAGGACTCTCTTTAGCCATGTATGGGGCACCGAGTCGAATGCCTTTCTGTAGTCTATCCAGGCGGCGGAGAAGTTCCGACGGTTGCGTTTCACCACTTTGCCAATGACCGCGTCAATGAGGAGTGGTTCCTTGGTTCCACGACCACCGCCCCGACATCCATTTTGAGCGCGCGACATCACCTGATTTGAGTCCAGGTGACAAGTGATTCTCGCGCTCAAAATGGATGTTAGTGTCTTGTATATGGTCGGTAGACACGTGATGGGGCGGTATTTGCTCGGGTCTGTGGTACCCTGGTCTTTAGGAACCAAATGAGTGATCCCAGTAGTGAAGAGGCTTGGGAGCGACTTCTGGTTGAGAGCCTCTTGAAACTGTCGGGCAAGCACAGAGTGACACACCATGAACCCCTTCAGCCAGTAGTGATGCAGCCCGTCAAGCCCCGGACTTTTCCAGTTCGGGGCCCTACGGACCGCCTCAGCTACGTCATCCGGCGTTATGATGACGGGGTCCATGGGCGTAATACCCGCACACTGACTCGCCACAACTTCCGTCCAAGGGCCCTCGCTGTGGTTTACGGGCTCTGACCACAGGCCGCGCCAGAATGCTACAGTGTCGGCCTGATTCGGTGCTGGACCCGTTCCACTTACCATTGGTCGCTCCAATGATTCATAGAGCCTCTTCTGATCACTCTGGAAGAGACGATTCTGGTTGAACCGTGTCGACCTCTCGGTATATCGCCGAATCCGCTTTCCCCAAGCAGCGATTCTCTGCTTCAGATCATCTATGCGCTCCGTCAGTTTTTGCGTTATATCCGGCTGGGACAAACTGACATTTGTCCCAGAAAACGCCATCCTGACGGTGCGCACAATTCTTGGCCTGTTGTTGCCTGATCTGAAGCATATCAGTCTGCCGATGAGAGCTCTAGCCTTTGCGATACGTTCCTCAATTCTTCTTCTCCATGCTGGGATAGCGCTACTATGGCCAGTAGCGCGTCCAGCCGTGGAAACCTTGGCGCCTATGATACGGCAGACTGCCAGCGCGGCGCCAAAAAGAATTGAGTCCGTCTCGCAAAAGGTCCCGGCTGGCTTCCAAATAGGTCACCAGCATTGGGTTCAGAGCCCTCACGACAGCCCGATTCCGCTTGCTTAGGGCTATGCGGGGGAAGTCGCGGTCGATTTTCGAGAGGCGTACTGCGCGTTTCCACAATCGCCTCTTCCAATGTACTCCTCATATGCTCTAATTCCAGTTCCTGGGCGACTGTTCCATCATCGTTTGAATCAACCACAACTGGGGTATTCACGGCGGCATCCACGTTTGCGGGTTGCTCTACCATTTGTGGCGCCGCATCCTCAGCCGTAGCATTCTCATCCGACGAGGGAACAGCCTCACGTCGTAGCCGTTCGAGTTCGGCGACATCAAATATATTTGAGCGCAAGATATACCGAACTCGGTCTGCCAGGTTTTGCTCTGTGACGGTTAAAGATGGCTCCAGCTCAGCAAAAAGACGATGCATCCTAGCCCGATACGCCAAACATCCAGTTTCTCTCCCTTTCGCCCCAAAATACGCCCGCAATGCGTTGCTGTTCATCTGGGTTGTCCAACGCATGCGGCGTACTCCACCAGAGGCGGGTGTCGATTGCTGGGCCCGCGAAGACCCTGCCGACACCAAGCCAGCTGGTGGGGATGATGGATGCGAGGGGCTGCTGGGTGGTCGTGCAGCACCTCGCGCTCGGCTGGCGGTTCGCATGCTGCCGCGTCCAGCGCCAGCTCCAGACGCGCCCTGGCGACCTCCAGGCAGCGGCCCTTTGCGCGTTCTTCCGTATTCCATCATCCATAGTGGTGGGCGTCATTTAGCGGGAGACGCCCAGACCCGGCGCCGTTTCATGGTGAGGCCATGTGCACAAGCGGGCCTTTGCACCTTCAATTTTTGCCGAGGCACGGCACTAACACCTCTTGGCAAGGTGCTGACTGACTGCGCTGACGTAGCGGTTTTGTCACATAACCGTTACGTCAGCGGGCGATGGGGTCGTCACTTCCCTACGCCTTCTATATTGTTATTATTGTGGGGTATCTATATAGTTTTCACATCTGGTTGGGTTCTATAAATATATAATTATAAATCAAAATGAAAAGATAAATATACATAAATATCAATAACATAAAATAAATATAAAAGTACATAAATAAATAAAAGCCCAACCAGATGGAGGCCCTCGGCAGGGGAGACCAAACGGCCGAGGGTTAGGGGGAAAGGGAAAGAAACCGGCGTACGATGCGGGCGGTATCGAGGAGCACCGCCTTCTGCATTTGAACCTGGAGCGGTCCGCCACGTAGTCCCAGCCGCCTCAGATGACCCGAGAGGCTGACTGGGATTAGCCCGTTTGCAGAGACGACTACAGGAATAATTTCGGTCGGCAGACCACCCCACATGTCGGTCACCTCGTGAGCCAGGTCCAGATATTTTGTTTGCTTGTCTGTTTCGGCTTTCACGAGGTTCTCGTCATACGGAATGGTAATGTCGACCAAAAATATCCTTGACTGTGCCCGGTCCATCAGCACAATATCAGGCTTATTCGCATTATTATTATTATTATTATTATTTTATAGAAGTGAGGGCAAACGAGTATTCGACTCAATATATATATATATATATATATATATATATATAGATAAACAACTTTTAAAAAGGAGAAAGCTCGCTTTTTGATTCGGAAAAGTGGCCGGTGGTAAAAGATTCCACAAATTAGTCGTGCGAGGAAGAAAACTCCTAGTAAACCGTACTGTAGTGGACCGCTAAGCATCCATATGATATGGATGATAACGTAAGTTTTGTCGCGATGTGCATTGGTGAAATTTGGCAGCTGGAATGAATCCGAACAATTTCTCAAAACACTCCCCGTGGTAAATGCGATAGAAAATGCAAAAGGATGCAACATTTCTTCTCAGCGCATGATGAATCGAACGAATCGGGGATAACTCGGTCGTCGACGATTCAGGGGCTGGCACTGGGGAGCCCTAGCCCAGAGATGGAAACTGTATTCGATGTAAGGTTGAACCTGCATCTTATGAAGTTGTAAGTGGTGTGCCGGCATGAAACTGTCCCGCTCTACTGAGCACACCAAGCTTTTTAAAAACCAATTTGGCATTCTCTTCCAATTATGCAATGATAAATTAATTCGCTATACAATAATTTAAGAAAAAAATCATTATTTTAATTTTTCAATGTTAAGGTAAAGCTGAGAACTCGTCTACATCAAATTAACTTTTTCGCGGTAATGTTGACGTTCACAGCATCTAGGAGGAGAAATCATAGTACAATACAAGACCGGATTGTTAGGTTTATTTAGGGAATATAATCTTTCAAATAAGAGCGGCACTCATTTGAAATCTTTTGATCTCTGTAGTGATTTATATTTACATAGCATATTTTTAAATGCCATTTTATCGAGTTTAAAAGTGACCCTACAAATAATTTTGCAATGCGATCTCAATTTGTCTCTCAAATAAATATAGGTATTTTTTTCAACAAGCTCCATTTTTATTTTGTATTATCAGCTTCTTTGACAGTATTTTTTTATAGAAAAAGGGTGACAAATGAGAATGGCCTATGGACATCTACATTTAACTTCAATTGAGAATCAAAATGCAGGCGCGTTGTCACCGATGAGGCCTAAGATAGAATCGATTTATCGATTTTTTCAAAAGACGTTACCTCCACACTAAAACTCTCTCCTGTATCGTGGGGGCAGTTTACAAACATAAATTTCACAAGAACCAAAATCCAGATCCGGAACAATTAATTGAGACCATACAAATACTTTATCCGTGCGGGGTTCGAACCCGCGGCCCTTAGCGGTGTAACTCATTGCTAAGCCACTGCACTACGGAGACGTTAAATAGAGTGCCTCGTTTCCTGTAAAAATGGTCTCCAATTCTCTACACTCACCATACGAAACAACAAAATTAAGCTGCTATTTCACGCTGGTGTTCTGTGAGATAAATACCATTCGTGCTATAGAGGTATTAATAATTATCGTTACCTTGTTGTGGTATGGTAAAGATAAAAGAGTTTTCGTTTTATAATTTTATCCTTATTATTTTGAGATCTTATCAAGAATGTTATGGATCTCATCTTTCAGCAGAGGACTTTTAATAGGGTGTAATGAATTAAAATAATGCAATTTTTACATAACCGACTAGATTTTATTTTTGTGATAAAGTTAGATTTGATAGTCTTTATTAATTATGTTAATAAAGTAAAACTATATTAACAGATTATCAGTTAATTTAGATCGTTGAATATAAATTTTAAAGTTATATGGTGGCGGTCTAAATGACTTCTTCAACCAATTTTGTTCCTGGGGTATCGCAAATGTTGATTATCTGAATGCCAGGAAAATTTCCATGTCATTTTTCTTAGATATTTGACGGTATAACGATTTTGTACATCTCTTTACCTACTATGCTATTGACAAAACAAAAAGGAAGAACAACATCAGGGGTACAAGACATCTGAAAGTGCTATCATCAATTCGCCTACACCAAGCCGTTATACTTAGAGAATAGGGTAATAATAAGTAATCTAAAGGAGAGACTCAGGTTCAGCTTTGGATTGCTTATGAGCTGACAAGGGAAATAAAAATACTTATTATTTTAGATATCAGCAGTTACATTTATTTTATATAAGTATTAACACCTCTTGTGTATATTATGTGAATTAATGCAAAATGCCGTAATTCACATTTCCAAGCTAGTGTTTAAACTTCACCGCAAGTTTAATCGTGGTTATCATAAGAGCAGACATTCACTATATTCTGGCTACTAGGTACGTAATTCCCAACGTACACGTAGAAAATGTGACATTCGTTGAATATAAATTTTACGTCGCAGTATGTTAGGTAAAAATTAACTCTCTGGATGTTACCTGCTTTTACTTTTGGCACGATTGATATATTTTATTTGCCGAAATTTGTAAATTGAAGCTTCAAATGTGAAAATAATAACCGATATAACTCTCATATCCTAAGTGCTAAATTGCATTTTAGTAATAAAACGGTTTTTTTCCTGTTAATAAATGCGGGTCAAAACATGACGCCCCGTGGATGACGTAAGAGGCGACGAAGTAAACCTGTAACAGACATCGACAGCAGCATCTCGTGATAATAACTCAAAATTATTGAAAAATCTTTACCGCGGAACGGTTAGTAACCCACTTGGCAAACGTGGCTATACCATATAGCATACTATGAGCGAACAACACATAAAATATCATCAAAATAGTTACAATAATAATTAACCCCTATTTGCCGCTCTTAGGGGTGGAACTTTTTCTTCAAATTTATATAGAATTACAAACAAATTTTTGTCGAGAAATCGGTAAACAAACATGGAAACATGCTTCAAATATAGACCTGTCGGAAATATCTGGATTACATCAGAAGGTTAATTGTTTTTAAAAATTAAAATTAATAATATTGTGAGAACTTGCTCTCTTGTTTACACTATTTATCGGTATATTTATTGGTAATAAAACAGCGTACTGCATTCGGTGTAGAGCAATGTAATTGCTGTTCGACCATACCGTAATATGTCCCCGTAAAAATTACATAGTAGTGTAACATGAGGGACATAATTACATGATTACGCCAAAGTATGCAAACCAACAACAATACAACCATCTCAGTGTAACACAGAGTAGCCTCACAGCAATACAATGTTCCTTAACTGCACTAGAAGAATTACCACAACGGTCAGAACCACGATACTGTGTAGACTCGTAGAATGACTTAAGCGGAATCTCCCGCACACGACGCCTACGGTGAACTTTATAGTACACAAACGAGTAGGGGAT